CCCCCCCCACCCCCGCCAGCCCACCACGGCGGTGCAGCGGGGATGCAGGCAAATGCCTGCCCTGCCCGGGAGCGTCACACCAGCGGGGACAGCTGGTGGCCGGTGGTGGCCCGTGGCCGTGGGACATGCCGGAGCTCCCACGAGTTTCCACCAGAGGGAGCCAAAATGCCACGAATCGTGGCCACGGCACGGTCGCGGCTGCCCATCATCGCGGCGTCGGGGCTCCGGGCCACGCCACAACCCTAGGAGGCAAAACGGGGACTGTCACCCCTCCATGTGGCTTGCAAAGCCAACCTGTCAGGAAAAGCCCTTCCAGCTGCCACACACCCCAGGGAGAAAACCCGCATGTCTGTCCCTCCGTTGGCCAGCGAGGGGGCTCGCAGCCCCTGTCCTGGGGGGGCCATACCCCGCTGCCAGCACTCTCCCCCAGCCCAGCTGCCTGTTTGGTGAATTTGAGGCCGGTTGTGTCTGGAAACAGCAACTGCAGCAGCAAAGAGAGGGTTCCCTGCGCCGTGGGGTAGCCCCGAATTGCCTCTCTGACAATTGGGTTTCACCCAGTTCAAGTCATCACCTAGCACCACGTCCAAACCCAGAGTGGGGATGAAGAAACTCTGCTCTGATCACTTTATAGTGGATGTGATTAGTCTAAATTAATGCACCAGAAAGGGAGGGTTTGAAATGATGCTCCTGGTGCTCTTGGGAAGGCAGCTCATGACATCTCATCAGAAGCTCTTTCCCATTCACACCTCACTGTCCCCCGGGTTTGGGTATTGTCGGACACGTTATTGGTGGGAAAAAGGAGCGGGATGGAAATAACCTGCCAGACGGGGACAGGAGGTGGGTGGAGGAAGAATCAGAGAAGAAAAATCACAGGCAATGCTGCGTGGTGCCGGAGGAAAATCTCTCCCATTTGGCCAGCATTTGCTCGTTTATTTAAAGCCTGTCATTAGCAGCAGCCACGTGTGATGGGATTCACACCAGTCCTGAGTGAAACAGGTGCCGTGTTTTGGCCATGTGTCTAATCCACCAAAGTCCTCTCCATATTCCTACTTTCCACTGAAAACTGCTGCTTTCTGCAGCAGCTGGGAGAGCCCGGGGTCCCCAGCTGGGGGGTCCCAGCCACTCTCCTGTACGTGGGAGATTTTTGGCACATCAGAAGCTGGGGCTGAGTGCAGGGGGGTGCCATGGTGTTGGCAAGAAGGAGAGAGGCCGTGGGCTGGGGAAAAGCATGGGATAAATGGGATCTGGGCCAAATCCAGGCAGGCAGCACCAGGCTGCTGCTCAGCACTGATGCCAGAGCAGCCTGGCACAGCTGGGGAGAGGAAATCCCAGCCAGCTCCAGCATTTAATCCTGTCTTCCTGGTGGAGTGGCTGGAAATGCCCAGCTCCTGGGGGCTTTGGGGCACGGGAAGCCACCAGAGGCCAAGATGCTTCTGGGAGGCCACCAAGCCTGGCTGGGAGCTGCAGGGCCAGCAGGAGGGAAACCATTTTAGGGGCTGCGTTTGTGCCCCAGACCCTTCCTACCGGTCCCAGCGATGCTGGAAGCAGTGTGTGCATGCCCCAAGCCTTGTGGTGGGCCAGCTGGGATGGGGAAAGATGCCTGCCTGTCTGGGAAACACCTCTAGGAGGGAAAAGAGGAGAAAATAGGAATTTCCTTAGAACCACAGCAGCAGGTGGGGACACAGAGCGAAACTGAGGCACGGGAGAGTGGACTGATTGGATGGGGTGGGACAGGACAGTTGAAGCATGTGTGCCAAATATATGGATGCACAACTGTCCCCAACCCCCTCCTCTAGAGCTGCTGATGAGGGCGGCATTAGGCTGGCGGCTGGTGAGTAGAGGGTTAACCCAGCCCATCCCTTCACCTAGGTGCTGCCCAGCCTGGCCCAGCTGCGGGTGCTTCCCAGGGCTATAAAGGGACTGAGCGTGTGTGCTGGTTTTGGCTGGGGTAGAGTTAATTGTCTCCATAGTAGCTAGTATGGGGCTATGTTCTGGATTTGTGCTGGAAACAGTGCTGATAACACAGGGAGGTTTTCGTTACTGCTGAGCAGTGCTGACACAGGGTCAAGGCCTGTTCTGCCTCTCGCCCCACCCCACCAGCGAGCAGGCTGGGGGGGA